GTGCAGCCAGTGCTGCCCCAATCAATCCTGAGGCTGCCAAAATGAGCACTGATTCGAAAATGCCATCATCCAGCAAGTCATGGCCATGAATTAGGTCCACCGGTTGGACACGATCACCTGCAAATGGGACAAGAGCCATACTCACTGGCATGGTTGCCCCAGCAAAAATGTCAAGAAAAAACTTGGAAGCCGAACACGATGAAAGTTGTTCGAAACTGCCAGAAAACTGGGAAAGGCCACGGGAGACTTCTACCTTCGATGCTGTATCAACAGAAACGGGTGGCTCCGGTAGCTCGGCCAGGTCCTGCAACTGTTGTGGAGGAACTGAATTATCACTTTCCTGCTGCGATGGTCAGTGTGGTGCCGACTTGTGTCGGGCTGCTGTATGAAAACCTCCACACGGTTCGCCATTGGCCTTAGGGACTGGGCATTGATGAGCAAAGCGACAGGTCTTACCAGACTTGCACTTGTTCAAGTTGAAGCGCATGCAGATCCCTTTTCCGTCAGGCAGTTTTCGAAGCCAGGAGTTGTCCCATTTCAAATCCTTGGTGTCCGACTTCGGATGTTTGGGTGAGTCATTGCCAGGGCTTGCAGTTTTAGGCTTCTTGGGAAGCGGCTTCGGAAGGTCAGGTCTGCGCTTGGGCGGTTCCTGTTTCGGTTGTTGTACCGGACGAGGACGAGGTGCCAAGGAGGTATGAAAAACCTGCCTGCAGAAGGCCACTTCATTTAGGACATCATTGAGTGTCCACTTCGACTCATAGAGCAGGTCCGTGACGGCAGACCATGCAACCCTGTCAGCATCCAGAATTTCCGACAATGATGGAGCACGAAGGTGCTGATCCCGTGGTTTCGCCAATGCCAGTTCAAGAAACTTCGCATGGAAACGCTTGAGCACCAGGAGATGCGCAGAGCCTAGCATAGCCAAGGCCACAGATAAGAGGTTTTGGAACTTGGCCAAAACAACTTCTGTGGGAGCTTGGTGATTGATGACTGCCTCAGGTTGTTCATTGAGAACTGAATCGCCTTCGGTGAGCAATGAGCGAAGTAGTTGGCGATCATTCCTGGGTCTGCGGTGTTCAGCAAACGCTTGTTCGTCTGCTTCTGATGTCCTGCTTTTCCATGGAATCCAGGTGAAGTTGTTGGTGTCAATTGCGTCCTTGAGGATGCACAGAAAGGACAAAGACGGCATAGTCCCGGGCAGCAACAACTCACCTTGTTAGTTCTGGCAAAACTCTGTTTTGAGTGCTTTGACATCCGCCACTGACAAGCGTGTCTTAGTGGGCGGTGCTGTAGGGGCATCAATGGGAGCATCACGGCCTGACAGCACACACTTCGCAATGCACTCCTTGAGGACCCTTCTGATCGCCGCTGACTGCGGAGAGAATGTCTGAAAAGTCTCTCCATCCGGAATCACACTCAAATGTTCAACGAACTCCTCCATCTTGGATTCATCGTGAATACCATGGGCCAAGAGTGCAATCGTTGTGTAGCCAGCATTGAAAATGTGTTCAATCTGAATCGATGGCATGTGGCAGTCAGCCATCAGCGATCTGAATGACACTGGGTCGTCTAAGGCCATAGATTGTGAAGCCATGTCTGAACACCCCACCGACACTTGGGCGACAGAAAGCAAGCTAGGAAAATGCGAAGTGGACCAGGGTAATGCAAACACATGTGAACATAAATCTGACCACACAAAAGGCAGTGGAACATGGCATAAACTTGATAGACCAAGAATAATCCAGCGTGGATCATGAGCCTGAACCAACAACCAGTGAATTGAAAAATGAAGCCAGGCGTGGCTAGACCCCAATCATGAGCCAAACTGACTGCGAGTCAACATGCCAGGTGAAAGCAGGCAACATGGACATAAGTGGCCAGGCGTGGCAAGATCCATGCACAAGAAATCACCATAGGACATGACTGGGTCAGACTCAGCACTACCGCACCTTTTGATCCAAGGCAGATGAATGCACGAGTCACTCTTGCGGGGCAGGCTGGCCAAGACTAGGCAGCTCCTCCATCAGCCTGACCTCCAGCTCCGAGACGCACAGCTGTAATCAAGTCGAAAAGCATCGATCGAAGGTGGCGAAAAACCAAGTGATCATCTAGGGTCAAAAGTGGGGAGCTAGATAGACCCCACTCAGTGACCACTGAGAGGGCTCCGGAGAGCTGGAAGACCAAAAGATGCGCCTGCTCAACTGGCAAAGATAAAGTGAAGGTGATGGCTGAACAGGGATGCGTCCTGTCAGGGATCCATCCAGATGGAGCTAGGTCCGCTTGGGCCTCTTCCTGAGTGATCAACACTTTTGCGGCCAGTGAGCAGAGGACTGAAATGAGCGTCCAAGGTGTGCCCTGTGGTGATCATCTGAAGCCCACTCCCTGACAAAGGGAAGTGCAGAGTCCACCATGGCCTCTAACTTAGCGAAGTCAGTCATAGGTGGCAAGTGGCACCTTGAGGCAAAAATGGCTGGCAGGATGCAGCATATAAAAATAAAACTAGACACATGAGCTAAGAGATGTACTGAACGCGTGAACAAGGCAAGGACACCAATGGGAAAGTTGGTATCGACAAAGTCACAAGTGCTCGCAGCGGGATGCACCAGATTCGTGACTGCATTGTTTGGACACGCCAATTTCCGGGCTCAGTCAAACATCTTGGAGCAGGCTGGTCTCATGCACAGCCTAAATTTGTCTGGGAATGTTTCAGCTGGAATGATCTCAGCGTCCCAGGCTGCGCGACGGACATTGCAAGCAAACTTAAAAGATTTTTGCACTTCCCCAGCGTCCACTGTCACCACCCTGTAAGGATCCGATTCATCACATACGGCGGCCACGTGGGCAATTGATGAAGTTGCATTCAAAAGAAAGAGACAATCAGCAGAGGCCGCTTGGATCACTGGGACCTCCATGTCATCCTGAACCTCAGGCGCCGCCCCAGCATCAGACTCACCAGAATCAGTGTCGACCAAGTCCTCAGAATGGGGGAGACACAATTGTGTCTGAGCCTGTGGTGTGACTTCCTCTGAAGGTGGAGCCACTGATACTGGTTTGTCCAGGACAGTTTTTGCTCCACCACGAAGAAGTGGAATCACTGGCCTGAAACCTGAAGCAATGCGCTGAATGATCTGGTGCTGTAACTGTATGGCTGGATGCACGTCGTCTCGGCCGTACAAGGCCACATTGGATCGAGCGCCTGACTGGCGATGATGGCCCTGCGCCATTCTGGCTTCCTCTGACGCTCCAATTTGTCGTGCCCAACTCAGTAAAGTCACCTTCGGGGAGTGCACGCCGATACTCAGGACAGATGCGTCTTTGTTGGCCTGCAGGAGAAGTCGTCTCAAAAGCAGGACTCCTTGTGTCCGAGGCATGGGTGCTGTGAACATGGGGTGGTCCACATTCGGCCCACACATGGGCAGCAAGAAATCTGGGGTGAAATCAGGAAAAACTTCTGATGTCCGTTGCAGGGCTTGACGCACCAAGTTGAGCCACTTCATAGACCACGTGACCTGTGTCGATGTGGCCAAGAGCTCTGACTTGACGAATGCAAAAGGCATTCCACGTGATGTCGTCTTCGTACGTGCTGCAATGCCTCTGATGACATCGACGTCCTCTGTGAGTGCACTTGGGGTAACCCAAAGTGCGTCACTCCACCTCAGAGATGACCAGATCAAAACAAGCAGTGAGCCCATCAGTAACCTGTCTGCCGCTGTGCCCAACTCCTTGAGGATGCAGGACTCCAGGTACACAACGAAGCTCAACGGCAATGGGGCAGCTTCTTTCCGGACAGAAATCTCAGAGGGGATTGTGTAAGCACGTGTAATCGGTGCCTGTAAAGACCCCAAGAGTGCTGGGAACCCTGCATACTTTGAGACCCACGTTAGCGCTCGCGATTGAGCCGTGGCGACTCCAAGTGAACTCCTCTTAGAAGATACCTGGAGAAAATCTGCAAGGAAAACTGTAGGTGGGCTGTAAGGACATACCTGATGACAGTGACAAAACTCCACCCACTGTGACCAGCCCTTGAGATATGCAGCTAAAGTCGACGGTGCAAACTTTGCAACAACTTTGATCAGGTGAGCTTCTTGGTTAGGGCTGTCAAGAGTGGACTTGATGAGCTCGCTGTTGAGACCCGCCTGTTTCAGAAGCTGAAGCCAATCAAAATGATGTTGTGTTCTCAGCTGCTGATGTAAGGCATACATCGTAGTGGAATCTGCAATCGAAGCTTTCACCACATTCGAAGGCACATCTAGGATACCAGACAGGAAAACTGAAGGGGTATCCAGCTGCGTCTGAGCGATGGATGCACTTCTTGTTGCCATAGAACGATCACTGTTGAGTTGGCACTGATAAGACAGCGCATGGACGCCCAATGTCGATGGTGGTACATACTGCAGACCTGGAGGGTGCGCATCCCACTGCACTTCACGACGGGGTTTCAGTGGTGGGGGCTGCAGACCACCCATGTTGAGGGGTCCATTGCTGTATGGCTTGTAGTGTGCACCAAGACCTTGGCCATCCCACCTGTTCAATACAGATTTGTAAGATGTCGCAGAAGCTTTTGGGGATGGGTCAAGGTAACTTGGAGCAGGTTCACGTCTCCACCGCTTGACTCTAAACAAACAGAAGAGGCAGGTCTTTCAGGCTGGAAAATTGAAATGCCTCTGCCACGACCCGACCCAGGCAAAAAGCCCTGTTCATCCAGTAGCTCCGCGGGGAGATCCATAACTACCAGACCAGCGGGTCAACAAGGTTTGAGCCAGGAAATGCCAGCCAAATCAAAAAGGTAACAATACGACACCAGAGTGCAAGCATGGGCAATGCGTGTTGACTATCAGCGGATAGACAATGGAACAAGCACCGGTTCAGCATTTTGCCAAGCACTGACGGTGAAATGTGAGCAGAACTGTTGTCTGCAGAAAACGAGCCAAGACAAAAATTGACCCAAACTGTCCAGATGGGCACAATGTCAAAGCTGTAGCCATGTCCCAGGGCTGTCATCAATATTCTTCTGATCGCGGTGCCAGCCAGGACTGGGGAGTCGATGGATGAAGCCGTTCAGCAAGTTCTGGATTGACTTCCATCCACTCTTTTGTAAGTGTTGCAAGATTGTGGAACATCAGTTCCTGGCATCGCCACATCTTTGCAACCTCAGCGTGGAGGGGGTCAATTTCTGACTGCATCTGGAAAAGGGCGTCTGCCAGGTCGGAATACGCCATTGGTTTCACCCGAACATCCACCTTGGCCACACGTCCATCTCCGTGGCATTGGACGATATGATCAGGGAAAGCACGAGCCATATGGGTGTAGACTTGGGCGTATAGGCCCTCTGGCAGGAAGACGATGTACTCGTAATCCTCATTGAAGGCCGATTCCCAGTCTGGCTTAAACTTCCGCCACTGCGATGGGGTCACATCGACCTCGAGGTCACGAGGAACTTGAAGAGGAAAAAGTGTCCTCACTGGGTCCAAAACCAAAGATTCCAGGGCAAAGAAACGGAAAAGTCGCTCAATTGGCACCACCGAATCTGCACCGTAGGCAATCTGGAAGTTGAACTGGGCCGGCGGGTACGACAGCTGCAGACCCTGCATCGCAGCCATTGCGGGCTGGGAAAAAATGCCCTGTTTGAGCCCGATCCCTGCCAAACTGCAAATCAACAAAATAAAGTAAATGGAATGAAATGAAAATGAACGGCTCAATGCTGCAGCATGGAAACTGAAAGACAATTTTAAACACACAAGAGAGCGCTCTTTTCCATCCGACATGCGATGTCAGAGATGGGTGTTTATAATTGTCAGCCACTGCTTCAGGTGAGCTGAGACTATAGGACCCAATGCATAGTGACCCGGCCGGGGTCACGTGTGAAGAGACAATCGATGTCCACATGATAGCGGCGGCCTCATGCATAGTCAAAATGGGTCGGAATAGCATCACGCCATCAGTTGAGGCCAGGATCAGGGTCCCCAGATCCTGGTGGACCGGATGATGCAGCGCCACCATGAAACGATGGATTGGCCAAAGTGTCCTCCAAAGCTCTGGCAAGGTAAGCTCTGGTCATCAACCATGACCCACGGGCATATTCAGCTGAATGATGAGGAACTGAACGCGAAGATTCCAGCCTCTGATGAATTTGCAAAGCAAGGTGATCAATGGCATGCACCTCACTGGACGTCAGCCTGCGAGTGGAGACAGACCTGGCGAGGTCAAGTACAGATCCATCACTTAGAGGATTGCCAGTACCATGATCCGAAACTGAGTCATCTGCGTCCATCGTCGCCTCTACGACAGCTGGAGAGCCAAAATCAGGTGGGGCGGTGACAGCTTCAGAAGGACCGGCAGGTGAATAAAGGGCAACGTGAATGCCATGAACTCTGCAATGATGATGCCCTCCGTGCTCCAGCATTTGTGAAACCTGGTACAGAGAGAAACCAGGTGGAAATGTCACAGAGCAAGATTCCACCACAGGCGGAGGTAAAGATCCTGGAACAAGGTATTCCAAAGACAACCTCCAATCCGAGCTGTCATACATGGCGTCCCTCAGACCGCGCAATGGTGTACGGTGGGACATGGCCAGAACAACCAGACCGGGTCATTCGAGCCGAAAAACTGCCATGCGGGCAATAAGAAAGAAAGCACAGCGGTGCAATGATGGGACTTGACATCAAATGAAACATGAGTGGAGAGCAGCGGCCATCCGATGAAAAACACACTCACTTTTGTACAGCCAGGAAGGAAGTCCGAGCAAAATCCTCAGCAAGCTAGCCACCAAAAGGTAACAGAGTCGAAAATGACTGATGCTTCAGATACCAAGGTGGAAGCGGATCTGCGCGATGGCTGCGTCCGCATCGCCCAGCCGCCGTTCCAAAGTAATGATCCTATCAGCTGACTGGGCCACGAGCTCCATGAGTTGCATCATTGGCAACTGGTGCACAATCAATATGGTCTCCATTCTGAGGTCAAAGGGAACACCTGCAGGTACCATAGAAAGATGATTGTCCGTCGCAGTTGCCACGGCTGCCATGGATTCGTACACTTCGAGGTCAGCCACATAGAAATGGTATTGGGAAGTAGAAACAATGTCATCATCCCAAGGTACCCAGTGGGTGGGAAGGTCGATGATGTCCGGGTCACCTCCAAAGCCAACTGGCCAAGCAGTGGGGTAGATGATCTCGTTGATGCTGCAATCCAATTGATCCAGGTTGAATGGAGCCATAATGGAATTGACAATGGACTGCTGGAAAGGCGCACCGGTTTGAAACTCCAACGTAAAACGGATCTCCTGAGGAAGAACACGACGAGGAGCAGCCATGACAATCAGAGTGATGACAACCACCAGAAAAAAGCAGTCGAAGCCAAGGCAAAACCCAGTGCAAAACCAGAGCAGAAAGCACCAATAGACCACTTAGGCTGATGCACCGGTGAAGGTTGAAGAACAACAGGTCGATGCAATGCAGCCTGCCCCTTGTCCAAACAACGCCTGGACTGGGCAGCCATGAAAGAAATACGATATGCAAGCTTGAAGCAAAACGGCAACGGACCAATGAAGTTCCGGGTCCTACCTGTGAACAACTATGTACAAGTACAAACCACAAATTCTGATCATCCGTTCGCTTTCCCAAAATTATTTTTTTTATGCGAACATGGTTGTGTATGGAGTGCTCTCACTTCTGAAACATGCTGAAAAACTAAGTTGCCGAATACGAACGGGTTGTCCTGCAAAACACAAGACATGTTTTTATGATGGGCCAACTATGCATTATGGTTTCAAAGATTTCAACCAAGCGTACTTCGAAGGAGCAGCAAGCCACCATGAAGTATTCCAAAGAAGTTGAGTTTGCAACACCATCATGTCAACCACATCATGTCAAGTAGATGGGACCTGAAAATGCGTTGAGGCACCTACACCTTTTTCTGGGCCAAACAGGCCTTGATGGTCATGTGGGTTTCACATCCCTGATCCATGGAAACATGTTGCGTTTCTTCATGGGTTGTGCTCTGTGGCACACATTGCATCTTTAATTTGCACACCAACAACCATTGTTGCTGCTGCGTTACGCCTTTCCAGAAAAACATGAAAATTCATTCAGCATAGTCTTTTGAGATTTTGCCGTGTCGGGTGGCAGTTTGCCAGAATTCTGATCTCCGGCAGATTTTCTCAGCTTTCGGAATGTACTGGATATTTTCCTTCTGTGCTTTCTTTGGCTCTCATCATTGACACCGTCGCGCACTGCTTGCAAAAGTTCCAGTATCATGCTTCAATCCACATCTGCATCCCAAATTTCTGCACGCTGACTGCCTCCCAAGTGCTCATCTTTCATAGTTCCACCATGTCAGTACTGGACTGCGGATTCACTGTAGTTGTTGCTGGAGCACCACTGCAGGTGTCCACCTCCATGTCATCATCCATTTCACATTCAATTTTTCCCGAGAGCACCTGCGAAGGGTTCTTCGTAAAAAAGCAGCCGTTATATACATTTTCACACCCTCACATTTGCTGATCTACATCTTCACACCTTCACACCTGCTGATCTACATCTTCACACCTTCACATCTGCTGATCTACATCTTCACACCTTCACATCTGCTGATCTACATCTTCACACCCTCACATCTGCTGATCTACATCTTCACACCCTCACATCTGCTGATCTACATCTTCACACCCTCACACCTGCTGATCTACATCTTCACACCTTCACATCTGCTGATCTACATCTTCACACCCTCACACCTGCTGATCTACATCTTCACACTCTCACATCTGCTGATCTACATCTTCACACCTTCACATCTGCTGATCTACATCTTCACACCTTCACATCTGCTGATCTACATCTTCACACCCTCACACCTGCTGATCTACATCTTCACACCCTCACATCTGCTGATCTACATCTTCACACCCTCACACCTGCTGATCTACATCTTCACACCTTCACATCTCTTGATCTACATCTTCACACCCTCACACCTGCTGATCTACATCTTCACACTCTCACATCTGCTGATCTACATCTTCACACCCTCACATCTGCTGATCTACATCGTCCTGGCTCAAATCGGCTTCCATCTTATGTATATATATATATATTATTTACATCTTATATAAAAATAATATATATACACAAATAAAGATCTGATACGATCGCACGCAAAAACGCAACTGCAAATCTGAAGCATTCTGAACGGTCTTCTCCCTTTTTCGACTGCCTTGATTTTTGATCCAAGCAATGTCTTTGGACAGGTTGTCCAAACATTTGAACACAACATCTGATGGTCACATATTCCCCCGTCAGATGATGCACAGAAAAAGACGGCAATCACTGTAAAATGGATGGGAGTAGTTACCCATACAGCATCCTCGGAGATGCAAATCAGCTGAGGCTGGAATCGAAACGAAGTGGCAAACATGGATATTCGAATGCCTTCGAACGTCCCAAGATTGAAAGTATGAATTCCGGAATGGTGAAATCCGTCGCAGTGAAAGCGAGTGGCGAAAACCGCACAAAGAAGAAAAACTAAGCGATCGATGTGAGAACCATAGATATAGAAACAACAAAATCCCCATAATATAAGGTGGGAGGGAGGGTAAAAGCAGATAAAGCAACATAACATGAAAGCCAACATGAGCCAAAATGGTACACCACAACAAGATGAAGTCCTACAAACCAAAAACATTAGTGAACAAGTACACTACAAGTTCTGGCTCAAGTCGGCTTCCATCTTATGTATATATATATATATGTATTTATATATATATATATATTATTTACATATTATATCTAAATAATATATATACACAAATAAACATCTGATACGATCGCACGCAAAAACGCAACTGCAAATCTGAAGCATTCTGAACGGTCTTCTCCCTTTTTCGACTGCCTTGATTTTTGATCCAAGCAATGTCTTTGGACAGGTTGTCCAAACATCTGAACACAACATCTGATGGTCACATATTCCCCATTTTTCTATCAGACTGTTGGGATTCAAACGCACAACACTTAAGCCCCATAAAAAGTGTTGGATACCAGCAGTCGACAAAAGGGAGAAAGGAGTCTACGACGGCAGCTGCCAAGATAGAAAGGTCTCGGCCGGATGCAATGAAACGAATGTTGCCGGATGCCAAAGTTGCTGCAAACTAAGGGGATATCTGTTGTGAACCGAATGGTTAAAAGGTGGTTCAGAAACAAAATCCCAACGGCTCAATGCATCAGCTTCATCGTTGCGGTGGCCCGCAATATGGGATAAATCAAGTTCCATACCAGAAATTGTACAAAGTAATGTCAATCGTTCCAGGAAGTGGTTCAGTGGGACCGTCGTGGAGAAAAGTTTGTTGCCTCCTGCCTCTGTTCCAGAATTATCGGCCAGCGAATGGATCTTTAAGGGAAAACGAAATCCAGGAGAGCTGCGGCTGACAATGTACAGAATGGCCATCTGTGCCAGGGTCTCAAAAGAAGCAATACATTTTTGCATTTCTGGAGTCACTGGGATGTTCAGGATTGAAAAATCCTGGAAAGCAAATTTTTCGCTGAACCCAATTTGTGTACCTGAAGGAAATCTGATGAATCCACCAATTTGACAAATGTCCTTAGATGCC